GTAACTTAAATTCCTAAATCTCTTTACTCTTCGATACAGAAAAAAGTCTTACTTTAACCTGTTTTGGCTCATGAGATGTGACCAGTTGCTGGAACATATAAGCATCTACAGGAAATGTCACAAAATTGTTGTGAAGGTCTGGCATTTTCCACGTCTGATATTAGAAACATAAAAAGGAAACAATGTTATGATGTTTAGCTAGCTGTAAATGGTGCTTAAGTCTATTGTACATTATAAATGTCTTTAAAAATTATTTTAAAATATTAAAAATATTCTATTGATATTAAAAGTTCAAATCCACATAAAGTCGGCTTTTTTTATTTTTTTTATTTTCAAAAATGACCTTGGCACCTGGGTTGACCCAGCCTGAAATGGGTATCAGATAAAGTTCTGGGAAGAAAAGGCAATTAATATAATATGGACAACATCACTCATAGAGGGGTAATTTTTCTATAAAAATATAAGTCTAGTATCACATGCTTTGTTGGCGGGCCACTAGCGTGAAAAGTGTCCTTTGCTTTATTTGGATTGCTGTTTAAACCAACGATGACAACAAAAAGTTTACAGAAATGGTCAATTTTAGTAATAAATTAAATAAGAGACATTACTTACTGCTTCAATGATATCTCCTAGTTTTTGATCAAACCAGTTGAGGTCCGATGTTTGAGTAATGCGATCTCTCACAGTTCTAATCAACTCATGTCTCCAAAGAGAGACAACCATGACTTCATCTCCTCTACTCTCATGTGCTAAATTTTTCAGACACTGTCAACACAAATTTAGAATTGATTTTTGTGGAATATTAATAAATTTGTATACAAATCTCTGCAAAAAAGAAATAAATGTTGAACACAGGGAAACATTAAAAGCATTTTCATTGCTAAATATATCACTGCATTTATTAAAGGTGTTTCTCATTCTACAGGGTTATTCAAAATAATGGATTCACTTTTATTCATGTACATTTCCTTATATATACATTGAGTATGAATAACATACATACAAGAAAGAGGGGAAGGAAACACATTAGAATATCCTTTGGTGGATGCAGACATAGTATGCATAAACAACAGTAGGCCTAGAATAGCAAGGAGACCTGGTGATGCAGACACAGTTAGTGATTTGGCATTTGTTACCCAGTTACACAAAATGGAGTGTCCTAGGCAATCATGGGGATGACCATATGTGATGCTGAGTCTTTATTTCTAAAGCTAGCAAAATCTGAGCTGTGAGAACACGCTCGGACCCACTCCTCTCCTCACCCAAATTGATCAAACCTGCACACATTTCTAATTGCGTCTTCAGCTTGCACCATCCAAGGCCTTCCTCTTTTCAGTATGTGACCCTTAGCTCTACTCAGGGCTTTAAGCATGAAGTGCTTCTTATGTAACCAGTTATCCGTAAACATGAAGTATACTGTCTCTTTTGTCTGTGTGGGGGGTGGGGGGGGGGGGGAGGGGAATACCCTAACAAGCAAGTCGTAAAAGGCAACTAATTAGGGGCTTGATGAAACTGGATGTGTTGGGCTGAGGAGAAGATAAACAGCCTAGCCGCAAACCACAAAGTAACACACCTATGACACTTTGAAAGGCAAGCGCAAAAGAAAAAAGTACTTAATGAATTCAATAGCAATAAAACAATATACATTTACCTGAAAACAGTTTGTGATGTCTTTTAATGTGAAAAGATAATGATGACGTCCAGGTGTGGGTGATGGTCGGAGAACGCTCTGAATAGCCTTCAACATATCACTAGACGCAGATACGATGGCATTATGGAGATCAACACTAAGACCTGAAGCACCACCTGACCTCATGTTAACCTGGAAGTAATAAATAATTTTTAAATTATTCAAAGTATATTTTAAGTAAGCAGTGTCTTGTTCGATTGTGATCAGAACACTGACTTAATGTACATATGCTCAGAATGAAGGCTGCACAATCGACAAACAACTGCCCCCTACAGCTGAATCTGTGAGAACAAACGTTATTTATTTTAGAAAAAAAAACAAACAAACATATGTTGCATATCTTCTTTAAGGATCTCACAATAAATTTCTGTATTTTTTTTTACATGTTTGCGTTACTATGCAATCTTATATCCAGTCATTTACCGCTGCTAATGAACTCTTGATGCCCATACTGTTTTTTCAAATCAATACGAAGTGGTCTGCTGCAAAATCGATTGCAGATGAATCAAACCTGGTATTTCAGAATTATAAAACTTAATTATTACTTCTAAACAACAGATGAATCAAACCAGACATGTCAGAATTATAAATCTTTATTATTTATAAAATACAGATGCCAATAGTGTGGAAATTAGGTTTCATAACTAACTTTAAAAAAATTTTTGTGTCTTAGTGATGGTGGAAAAAAGGGGCAGGAGAGAGCATGTCAACAATTTAAAGACAAAATACAAAATAATGATTACCTCTAACATGCCATTAACAATGCTTCTGGAAGCATCATCTTGAGAGGCTGGCAACCATAACACTGAGAAATGACGCTGAAATCATTCAGAAAAAAATACATTACCCTGACATATTAATGGAAATATACATTTCTAGGTAAACTATAAAAATCATTAGTTCTTTCTCAGCAGTGAAGACCAGATTCAATTTAGTCTACAACACTTAAGGTTGTTGTGTATCCTTTACAGGACAGTTGCAGAACCAACCCCAACAGCCCATTGCTGTTAGTTAGTGGCATGATATCATCAAATAAGCAGAGGGCTTCACAACTGTCCGTCTTCTCAGTGGCTAGGGATTGACCCCTGAATATTTATAAAAGCTTACAGAGACTCGAAATTTCATCTGCTTCTTCTTCTTAGGGTAGAATTTTAGAGACATTTTAGAATTCACTTAAAAAAATATTGCAACAAAAACTGTTTTTTTAAAGATACTTATGGGGTAAACGTTTTAAATTCAAAGACAGGAGGAAAAAAGTGTTTAAAAAAAACAAAGCAAGAAAAACATGATGAAAGAATGAATTTAAAAAAAGAAAGTAACGTAAAAAGAAAAGAAAAGAATTAAAAAAAAAAAAAAATTACCATCAACCTCCCACTGAGAAGTCTGTTAACTGCTGCGGGGTAGTCACTAACCGTCATGGCTGACAACACATAAAGATCCTCTACAGTATGCCACTCATAAGGTTTGTGAAGGGTACAAAACTGTTTCTCGCCCAGAAGCTGCCGGAGAAATTCATTACACATCTGAATCCCATTCTGATCTGGTTGTGGTAGATTAATGTCGTCAATGAATATCTTCAGCTTTTTGTTCTCTAAAGCTCCATATACAAAGCCTGAAAAGACAATAACAAATGACTACAATTATAATTTCAACTTTCCTTTTACCAAAGCAGTGGTAGAGTTAGCTTTTTCTTTTTCAGACCCACTATGTTACAATTTTTTTCTTCTTCTTTTTCAACATTTGCCTAAAACGGTGGTTGGTACAAGGTGTTGTTATTTGCGACTAGGCTGCAGTATATGTGTCTTTTTGGCCCAACGCATCCAATTTTAGCTAGTCACCTTTTATAACATGCTAGTTAAGGGGGCAGTCAGTCTTCAAAGCAGACACCAGTAAAAATTTGCATGTAGTATATTTTAAGAGCTATACACAGTAGATCTTCCCACAAATGCAGCCAGATATATGTCAGATTCACCCAAGTCAATTTTGGTGATTTTGATTTAAGTGCATTTTGAGAGCTGCTATTTGTCACGTTGAAACATACCAACGGCACGCCTGAGATTTTCTACTCCAGGTAGGTCAAAATGAAGTCTTACTTTTCAGGAAACTACATAATTTTAAGTTGAAGTAAAATGTTCAAACATGGTTTTCTCAAAACAAGAACTTAGCACTCAGATTAATCTGGCCTAGTGCCAATGTTATTTTGATGACAAGTTGGAGAATATAAGATTAGCATCATGGTGACAAGAATCTTTGGACCCATGAAAGATGCAAACAGCAGGGAAATGAGAGTGAGAAGCAACAATGAAATTCAAAATCTGTTTAAATCACCATTGATCACTGGCAGCATGACAGCTAATAGACTGAAATGGTTGAAGAGAACGCCTAATGACAGAGAAGTGAAAAATGTATACATAAGGGAGATGAATGGTCGCAGACCACGAGGTAGACCAAGAAGACAATGGAGAGATAATGTCAAGACAGAACTGCAAACACTTGGTGTCACCAATTGGAAAGAAAGACCAACCATAGATGAACTGAGGCGGGTGATATCTGCAGCAATGAACCTCAAGAGCTCAGAATGCTGAAGAAAAAGACGATCATGATGACAAGTTACAGTAGGATGTTTGAACATTATAGCACAGCTCTTTAGGATCTGCAGACAGCTGTTTGAAACACCAATACACATTTTTTTTTTTTAAATTTAGCTCTAATTTTACCTTGCCGGTGATGTATGTTGGAATCAATGAACTGTTGTATTTGTAAAGCACTGGAAGCTCCAGAGAAAACCAACAGTTTGCACATAGACAACTGAGAATCTGAAAAAATTTAATTTATACTACAAACCCATAAATGGAAAGAGGAAAGCACATTATTAATCAACTTTTACAAACAAGATTAGCTTAAATATCATACACTTATTGTGGAAGATTATTCTTAACATAATTTGGTCTTGCTAGCCACACCCATCCACCCCAGCACATCTATCTATACCCAGCTACCCCTACTCCTCTAGCCCATAAACTCCCTTCCCCCTCAACCCAACCTGCTACCCCTACTACCCACCCCATCACCCTGCCCCTGTTTTTTTTAAAGTCATTTAATTTAATTAACTACCTTGTCTTTTGAGGAAATC